GAGATTTTAACTCTAATGTCCTTTTAAGACAAATATACCGATAAGAAAAAGGAATGTATTTAGAAATCATTTTAGTTTTTCATAAAACATAGTCCCTCTCTGTTTCTTGTTCTCGTGACTTTTAATCGCACAACACATCAAAATTTTCATCTGAGAGTTTCCATGACTGTAGAAACAAAGAGAATAGATTTTGACAGTTTCTGTAGGCTGAGGAATATAATGCTTGCGTTAGTGGACCCTTGCTGAGCCTTGTGTTCTATTATCCCTGAAAGTTTTTCCCTGGATCCAAGCACTAGTTAACCTAACAGGCGCAGTGAACTCAGCTACTGTCTTCAAGGGTGTTATGAGGTTCATATTCATGCTGAACAAGGCAATGAAATGCAAATGCTTGTCTTGAATAATTTTCTCTCAAGGGCACAAGTATGTTCCTAAAATAAAATGTATATAGTAATTGCTAAACTACCAAATGGAATATATTATTTTATTCAGGCTTGAAAATTTAGAAAAACAAGTAACATATAGTTATAAGACTTAACAGAAATGCCAATGTGGTATAAACATGTCCTGTTCTGCTTTTGACTAGGAAATAGGCAAAAGGAAATATCTTAAATGTAATATTTTCTCAATGTGAAAAATAATGTCAATATTTTGTTGGAAATTAGCATCTTGTTTTTATCCCCTAAGGACTGCATTGTCTGTCCCTAAAAAGGTCAGATGTAAGTGTAGTATTGGGAATATGTACATATAATTTGTGAAAAGTATTGCCATTGAGAAGAAAAATATTATCCAGTTTGGACTATAAAAATTTACCCCAAATTGCTTAATCTTTACATATACCCTTTGAAGGATTGCCTACGTCACATGTATATAGCCTCAATATTCCCAATAAGTATGGCCTCAATAATTATTAGCATGTGCCATTCCATTATTTTCAAAGGAAATTTCTATTGATGGCACCTTTTCTAGAAAACATTAAGCTTCTTTTTTAATACATGTGGTCAAGATGAAAAAAACTCCTTAAAATATATCTTCAGCTTTCCAAAAGCTGACCAACTGTCTGTCATCTCAAAAGTATATACTTAAAATCAAAAGATACATTATCAAAAAATATTAAGACTATTCCTTTGAAATATGAAAATCTACTAGCTAATCGTCTATATAGATATATGCTTATGTAAATCTGTCTTTATTGTATTTTTAGACCATCCATGTAGTACTTTAAATAATCAAAGCAATTCTGAATGAACATAACTCACCTTACTTCAAAGAGATAAAAATAGTTCTTTCAAGGAAGCTAATTAAATTATAAATTAAATTGAGAATTCTGGATTAAGCCCTTCCCTCTAATGGTACTACTAAAGGGCACTATAGAAGCAGACACCAGACAGGCCAGGATTGTCTGTTTCCACATTGAAAATACAATCATGTAATGGTTCTTTAATGCAACTCTGTACCTCTTGAGGTAAGTTAAAACTTTATGCAGTCATATGTAATTACTACTATATTCCCCATTATTAAATAAGACAGATAGTTAAAAGTCTTTCCAATTTGCTACTTGTGGAATACAAGTTGGTGAAAGTTCAAAGGGAAACCCTTTAACCCTGAAGACCTGAGATTCTCCTAAAAGTGTCTTTCACAAAGCAGAAGGTTTTGATTTTTATAAAATCCAACTTATCCATTTTTTTTCTTTCATGGATCATGCTTTTAGTGTTGTGTCTAAAAAATCATTGCCATTCCTGAGATCAGAATCAAGTCATTAAACTGAACTAAGGACAGCTAACACCGATAGTACATCAAACTGTAGCTGCCAAGGTGGTCAGCTGAAATCCTTAAGCTAACACCGTTGTAGGAAGTGAAAACTCAAGATTCAATCCAGTGCAGATCAGTGGTCTTCTGTTTAAAGTATGAGCATAACTGCATCATACATCCATTTCTCCTTAAATCTGATGATCTTGTCCATTTGTAAAAATAATATTCACATTATCATTGAGCTTTTCACATAAATACAATGTAATTAGATGATATTAATGAGCTTTAGACTCCTCTAAACAATATTTATTTTTAGTTTTTTAAATATTTATATTTTTAGATTTCAAAAAATTGTTTGAAATAATTCTTGCTAAAGTCATTTATTAAGGGGTAGAATAGGAATAGAATAGTCATCTCACCTTCAAGAAGAAAATCTAAATTTTTTGATAAAAGTGCACTTTGCTCTTATCTTTTTAAGTGTTTATGTGAACTGGAAAGAAACCATAGGATCTTAGATGTTGGGTGTTACTCAATTGCTTCAGTCAGAAAAACTGTGCAATTGGGAGAGACTCAAGGAAAAGCTCATGAAGTTGTTCAAGTGGGAAGAAAAAATAGCATATGATTTTTATCATAGATGAGCACAAGGTCATTTCTTTCAGAGATTGGAAAATCCAGACCTTACATACAAAATGAAAGTCTTTACTCATCAGGGATTTGGGATTCATTTCTCATTTTTCCCTGGTGTACTGTTGCATCCTGAAATGTCAGAAATATCAAGCATCATCAGTAAATTATTAAAGGTGAAGTAGAAAACATTGTATCCATTTCTGGTTTTCATAACCTCAAGAAAGATATGAAGCTAGAGACAGCACAGAGCAAGATTTTCAAAATCATTAGCAGAGAGCTTCTGTGAACGCCTCGTAGTTATGATGTTACTTATGGTTGTGGTAGGTTATGAGGTCCTTAAGACATATGCTCCTATTCCTTTCTTTTCTAAATATATAAGCCATGTGAAACAATGGCTTGCATAAAACAGCAGCTGGCAAAGTGCATTGCCAGAGCTTAATGTTGGTTCCTGTGGTTGTTCTGATTTCGATCCAGCAGTTAGTTAATCTGCTATCTGAAATGGGATGGTGGTTATAGAATGTGATTGAGGTTTATAAATTCTTGAATGGCAATTTCAGCAAATTTCACCTAAGAATGAAGCAGCTCCCTTTGAAACATTTTGGGTTAGTGTGGAGAAGTTAGTGCTTCCTACTGGGGGAGAAGCAAACTTAAGAATTTTTTTATCCAACAAATATATACCGAGTGCTCCAAACAACACAATGCTAATAGCACCAGAGCAGCCAGAGAGAATAAAACTTGCCTTCTGGCTTTTAGAAGCTTCATGATTAGTCTAAGAGTTGATATACATATGAAATATAAATTAAATTTTGAAAGGTTTGGCAAATTCTGGAGAATGTTTGCAAAATCAGCATTAATTGATTGCTGACTGTAAGCCAAGTATACTAGTATCTTCCCATGCATTGTCTCAAAATAATTCTGACAATAACCTTATAAGGCAGATTTTTTTTATTATCCCTATTATATAAAGGGTGATATTGAGGCTTGGAGAGATTAAATAATTTGCCCGAAGCCCCACTGATAAATGGTGGCAAGATTTAAATAACATACTGAAATTGTTGTTTCTAAAGGAAGGTGTGGAACAGAAATCTCATCTTCAACTTTGATGTTAGAGAAGATAAAGTGTCTGTGTGCCATTTGTCTTAAACTCTGCCTTAAAAAATTAAACTGGAGAAGTGAATCACAGCTTTGATTGGGCAAAGACATTCATGTAAGAATATTCCTCCTTTCTGGTCATATCATTATTAATTCATTTGGGGCATATGGCTCTTAGCTGTGCTCTGTAAATGCTGCCACATTGGTGACGTGTGAGTGATTCTTTTCTTCCTGCTGTGAGGTGTTACTCTTCCATTCCAGAGAGGGGAGAGCATCAGTAACAACTGCTTCCCGGTGCAGCTGTATTTGTGATAAATTTTAAGCCAGTTGGTCAGGTCCCATATCCACGTAATTTATTCATTGATTGTTGCAGATGTTGTTGAGTACCAGTGCTGGTCACATATTTGGAAAAACATAAACAAAAACTGGCCCCAGGAAAGAGATCCATTTTCCCAGAACTTCTAGTAACTTATCTATTTATCTATTATTCTCTTGTTCAAAAATCATTCAGCTTTCATGGTCTTCCAGACAGCTAGACAGCAAGCTAGGAGACTGGTGTACAGAGATGAAAGGCATGGCCACCTGTCCTCAAGCATTTGCAATCTAGCAGCACAGAAAGTTGCCTCAAGAATCACAGGAGCTGTGATGAGTACCATGATCTGTACAGGGAATTACAGGAACACAAAAGAGAGCCAATGAAAGCCAGGAGGGGTGAGAGGTTTTGGCTTCCTGATGGAACTAACTCTATCTGTGGCTAGGTCATAAAGGATCATGCAAATTTTCTTAAGAGGAAAAAAGTAGAAATTCTAGAAAGATGACAAGCATATGCAAAGGCTCAGAGGCGTGAAAGGAGGAGCTGTAAGTTTGAGGAGTTATAAGTAATTGAGCATGGCAACAGGGTACATTTGGAGAAATGATGGGAGATGGGCCGAAAAGAATTTTGAATGAAAAAAACCTGAATGTTTTCTTCAGTATTATGGAGGCAAATATCTTTGTTTTGAATTAAAGTGGAGATTCTGTGTTTCTTACTTTTCTTTCAAATATTAATAACGTTTTCAATATTTCCAACTTTTTTTACTTATAAAATGGCACAATGTAAAATAATTTTATTTTTCTTGTAGTTTCCGAGGAAGACAAAGGATTTGGACCAATTTTTGAAGAGCAGCCAATAAACACCATTTATCCAGAGGAATCACTGGAAGGAAAAGTTTCACTAAACTGTAGGGCACGAGCCAGCCCTTTTCCCGTTTACAAGTAATGCACCTCACTGTTCTTCTCGGAATTGAGTGTCAGGCTAATGATCACAGATCAGCATCTATGACCCTGTACTAATAAAGATATAATGTAAAACATTCTACAAATTCTATCGACATGAACAAAAATATTATCAAGCTATTAAAAAAAGATAGCCCAAAATAGACAGCAGGTTTGCTTAAATATATGCAAATTATTCACTTACTATTTTCTGCAAAGATTATGCTAGTGGCATTTGACATTATCCACTTACAGATTGTCTAATGGAGATCATACCTTTAAGCATGCAAATGGTTATATGAACATCTTGCATAATTTAAATATACACATTTGAGGATAAGATGTTTTTGTATGCATTGGCCCAGATAACTTGTAACTACAGAGATGGATGACTTTCTATCTTAACTACATTTGAAGAATTTGCATACATAATTCTAGAAAGCTTTTCCCAATAATCTCAAATCTATATTCCAGACAACACAGAAAATTTCCTAAATATTTCTACCTATTGCATAATCTATATAAATAAGTTTATTTCTGTTTTTCTGGGTTACATACTTATGTTATCAAAAATAACTTTATTAAAAGCAACAATAGGCTTTCCTGCTTCAAATGGTTCAGAAAAGTATACTAACAGTTTCTATTCTGATACAAAGACTAAGATTCAAAAATTAGCCACATGCCAATGCATTAGAATTTCACCTGTGAAATGGTTCCTTGAAGACAAAGCAAGTGATTGATGGAGAAATTCGGGGCTCTAGTATGTTGATGTCACCTGACTTAATTGAAGGTTGTCACTCAACAATGTTAATTTTAATAGTAGACTATTTTTTTTTCCTGGAGAGGAAAATAACTTTCTATTGTTATAAAAAGTTGTTATCAAAGAGACTATCCCCTTCCCCCCATTTAATTCTAAGTGTACTAATTTTCTCTTGCCTCTGGCTATAATTACAAAGTTATTCTTAAACTAAAATATGACTTTAGATACAAAATCACCAACCCTTTGAAATTATTTTTACTGTTTCAACTTCACTAATGGGAGTGCAACATAAGTAGGTATTTTATTAATTATGTATAATATATTTGTTCTGAAAATATTTGATGGGCTAAACTTATTTCCACCCTTAAGCCATTTACACCGTGACATCACTGGACATGGAATAGTATAACTAATAGGATCTGTAGAGGAGATCTAATCCAAGATAATTTTACAGGAGAGAAAGCTGAGTCCTGAACAAGCAAATTATCTTAATCAAAAGGTAGCAAATCAAAGATCCAGACTGAAACACAGGTTTTATGACTTCCAAAGAAGTATATAATTTTTTCAGTATTTATCTATCTATATAGATTGATAGAATCTCAAAAGCTATTTCAGTGATGCTTATTCTGTGACACTCTGTCATAGACATTCACACATGAGACCTCGGCTACTCAGCTTCCAGGCTGGAATGGAGCCAATAAAGCAAAGAGGTTGTTCACAGATAGTGTTTGCAAAGCATGGGAAGGGCCATGTGTCTTGCTGCTACCTCTCTCCTCACCTCACAGAGACAGTAAGAAGCAAAGCTTTGCTTGGCAAATACATCACATGCTCTCTCTCATAGGCGGCAGCAATGCTGAAATTCCCAGTTTGAGTTTGGCTTGACTATTAAAAATTAATGTAGAGAACTGGAGAAGACAAGTAGAGGTTTAATCTTGCAATAAATGCAGCCTGCATTTGACAGAAAAAAAAAGAAAAAGAAAAGGAAAAAATTCAGCTCATGATGTAGCTAGTCTGATGGAAAAGAACTCTTAAAGTTTTTATAATTTACTTAATATTCAATGCAAGCCATACTAACCTTGGTAATCATGCAATTTGTCATTCACACAGTAGTTTTATATTTGTAGCATGTTCTGTGATAATGTGATATGCATGGAAACATACTGAGAGGTACAGCAGGAAACCCTACCTCCCACTTATCAACAGTGGGGCTTTCATTATCTTACCTCATGCCCAAAGAAAAGAGCTCTACAATAAAAACTGTATTTAAAGCAGTGTAGAAAGGATTGCAACAATAATGTATGTTTCTAAAAACAGGCCAGTGAATTTATCCAAACACAGCAAAACTTAATCCTTATATAATATCATAGGCAGAATCAGATCCAGGGGTAGGAAGTCAAGGCAATAAACAAAATTTTGGAGTCAACATAACGTGGGGAAAAAATCTCAACAATTGGAACTGTGCAACAAGGAAAACCACTGCTTTGACAAGTGCTAAGCAACTTGATGCTAGATGATTCAGGCAGGGACTATATTGCCATCAGGCTGGGGGAAGAGTGGACTTTTTCATTGGGTTGGAATTGGGTAGGTTTTAAAAATACAAAAGCATGGTTTTCCATGCTCGCTTTTCAATGACCTCCTACACCGTAAAAATTATAACTAAAAATATTCCAGTAACTTTGATGTAATAATAGATATTTTAAAATCATCAGGACTTTTTGGCATGATTCTTACCCTAATCGGAAATATGCCAGGGTGATGTGCCAGTGATGTGGGCACAGGACACTACTTGAACTGCTTGACTATGGCTCCTTTCTTATGGCATTCCTGGGGACATGGAACATTAGAGGTTGAACCCTAATGGAGAATGATGATGAAGTCACGCAGGGGGTGATCTTAATTGACAACTGTTTTCTACATGCATTCTTTTTATCATCTTACCACCAAAGTTAGATCTCTGTTTCTAGACAATTTATTTATAACACAATCCTCACCAATTAACAATCTGATTATCTGCAACACTTCTCACCTACATTGTTATGAGATTATGTAGTGGGGGGAAAATCCCTTTACCAGAAATAATCCCTGAATAATAAGAAAACATACAAGTAACCATTAACTCTAGGCTGAGGAAAAATCTGGTTTTACTTGTATATTCATGGCTTGGGATCTAAAGACCCAACTGTCTTCTCTCATTTTTGCATTGTGTGATCGACCTCTAGTGGTCAGCATATGCTATTTCTGAGCAGAACCTTGATTTCGGTTCATTTTATTGAAAATTATTGATATATCAAATCAGATATTGATGTTTTATATTTTTATTTCTGGTAGAGAAATGCTCTTAGAATTTTATACAATATATCCATATATGTATGAATCTAAGTAGTGCAAAGGTAGTTATCAATTACAACCCATGTATGTATGCTAGGAAATCAATTTATGGAGCAAAACTCAACAAAGTATTTGACACTTGGCATGTTTCATGAAATAAAGAGGAAATGTATCATTCACTTTAACATCCACCTGTCTGTACCTGAGCTAAATTATAAATCATGATCCCAGAGACTTGGAATTATAGGGAATGAATCTCACCCTGAATCATATTCTTTTTTTTTTTTTTTTGATCCTTTGTAACTGGTTTATTTCACTTAGCATAATGTCCTCAAGGTTAAGCCATGCTATATTGCATATGTCAGAAATTTTCTTCTTTTATAAGGCTAAATAATATTCTGTTTTATGTATATACCACATTTTGCTAATCCATTTATCTGTGGGCTGCTTCCACATTTTGGCTATTTTGAATAATGCTGCCATGAACATTGGAGTACAAGTACATCTTTGATACCCTGATTTCAATTCTTTTGGGTATATACAAAAAAGTAGAATGGCTGGATCATACAGTAATTCTATTTTTAATTTTTTGAGGAACCATCATACTGCTTTCCACAGCAAATGTAGCATTTTCAGCCCCACCAACAGTGTATAAGGGTTCCAATTTCTCCATACCTTCACCAACACTTATTTTGTGATATTTTTAATAGTAATAATCCTAGTGGGAATGAGATGGTCTGTCATTGTAGTTTTGATTTGCATTTCCCTAATGATTAGTGATGTTGAACATATTTTCATGAGCTTATTGGCAATTTGTATGTCTTCTTTGGAGAAGTGTCTATTTAAGTTCTTTGCCCACTTTTTGAATTTTGGGGTTGTTTGATTTTTGTTGCTGTTTTTGAGTGTTAGGAGTTTTTGTATATTTTGGATATTAATCATCTGACTTCACATGGACCTGTACCCAAATTATTTTAGAGCTATGTTAGCCCAGTATAATTTCTAGGCCTCATGACCTTTGTTGTGACATTTGTATCTTTTTCTCCTAGATGGAGAATGAATAATGGGGATGTTGATCTGACAAGTGATCGATACAGCATGGTAGGAGGAAACCTGGTTATCAACAACCCTGACAAACAGAAAGATGCTGGAATATACTACTGTTTAGCATCAAATAACTATGGGATGGTCAGAAGCACTGAAGCAACCCTGAGCTTTGGATGTGAGTAACTGTAACTTAAAACAATGGGCAAGTGTATGTAGGTGAAGTAAAATTAGATATTTTAATTATTGATAAAAATCTACATAAACTAGAGTGATAATTCTGTGATGGTCAACTCTCTTGGATGTTTTTCTTTTATTAAAATCCTTTTACTTACTTCTCCCAATGAAAATAGAAATGTACCTCATCATTTTAACAAAAGTACTCACTGTGTGGGATGTTAAAGAAGACACGTTTGCTCCATGCACATAGGTTGCAGACTGTTGGTAGTGAGAGAAGTCATACATATGTGAAAGTATTAAGTTAAAATGCATAGATTGTGTTGTGAACTTCAGAATAGATACTAATAAATGTCACTGTAAGAGTTCAGCAAGAAGAGAAAAAAGAAGAAAGGATAATGAGAGGAAGCCATGATAGATGATGTGGGTCTTCAAGATTGTGTGGCAAAGAGAGCAAAGTGACATGAGAGTTTTATGAATGCATTTGATATACTGAAAGATAATGTTGTATAATAAATGAAGGCTATGGTCTGAGGATTTTGAATGAATCATTAAAAATGAGCACTAGTGGAAATGGTAAGCCATGCAGTCTCAATGGGGCCAGTATCACCGTCAGGGGGTGAAAATTGGTTCTTAGAGGAAGAAAACATCTTAGGTATTCCAACACAAAAGATCAATCCTACCTGACAATACCTTATTCCTTAGTGTTTAATTTTTCCTAGTAGAAATAAATTAAATTTTGTCTTAATTATTTATTTTAAATCTAAATGAAAATTTTCTTTTTATTGGGGCCAGTAATGAAAAACATTTTGAAAAACACTGTGCTAAGTTAGAAGTTGTTCCGAAAGAAAATTGAGCATTGGGAGATGAATTGGACCAGGTGGTCTTCAGACATGATTTTATAAAGTCAGCATGTAAGTCTTTTGTAAAAAGGATTATAGGATGAAAATGATTTTGTAATAAGTCCTACATGGTAGTGATTATCAGGAGGGAGGGAGACAAGATCAGAAAGAGCAGTAAAATTAAATTAGTGCAGTGAAAGTGGAAATGTAAATAATATATACTGACTACAAGGAAAGAATTAACAAGTTGCATTGCCCTGAAGGAAAGAAGATCCTAAATATTTTTTTCAAGCAAAGTCTAGTCAAAGGGCAGAAACATTCTGCTCACATTAAACATGGAAAGGGAGCAAGAAAAACCAATTTCAAGCATGAAAGCATTAAATGATTGTTTCACATGTAGAGGTTATAGTGACATTAAGTTATCTAAGTTGAAATGTCAAGTAAGCATTTGAGGTTAGGGATGGCATTTGAGTAAGATATCAGGACTAGAGACGTAGATTTGAAGGATCATCTGCAAAAAGGGAACAATTAGAATTGATGTGTTTTTGGAAGTATATAGTATATTGAGAGAAGTTAAAATTAGATGTTATAACTTGGGTACTGATCATAGATAAAAAACAGGAGGAGAAGTGGACTGAAACAGAATGAATTCCAGCAAAACATGAAGAATCAAAAGAGTATCAAGGAATCAAGCCAAATGTGAGTTCTAAAACAAAGAAAAAAGTAAAGGAAATTAGAACTGAGGCAAACCCAGAATTTGAAATGGAGCAAGAGATTGGTCACTTTCAGGTTCCCAAACGAGGGTCCTGCCTTTTACCCTTATGCTTTCCTGATATCCAGGTCCTTCCTTGGGAAGAGAAATACCCTTCAAGTAAGTCTATTCCTCTTCCTAACTTTGCTTGGCAGATCTCTTGTTTTGTCAGATTTCATTATATTTCCAGATACTCTTACTGAGACTCTCTCTAAATCTGAAACAAAAGGCTTTATTTAGGCTATTTATAATCTTCAGGGTGGTCAAAATTCTTATACAAGCTGCTACCAACATGTGTCGGCTTCGAGCCCATACATAACTTTTCAATAGTGTGCACAAATCCTGGTGCATAAAAATGAGGAGTCGACTTTCATAGGCTTCACCAAACCAACTGAGAGGTGCTGTTGCTGAAAGATAAAATTTAATGGATGTCTCTTTCCATTGACCAGAGAGTGAGTGTTTTCTTTTTTTTTCTTTTGTAATTAGATCTTGATCCTTTCCCACCTGAGGAACGTCCTGAGGTCAAAGTAAAAGAAGGGAAAGGAATGGTGCTTCTCTGTGACCCTCCCTACCATTTTCCAGGTAAACTTCATGCTTCTGACGATAAGACTCTATAGAGTAAAATGAGCAAATTTCCATTTTCCTAGTAATAATTCCATATTATTAATTATTTTATTAGCCTAATAATCATGGCTCATTATTAATTAAATGAGACTCAATATTTGCATGATCTTGTACCACTTACTAATGGTTGTAGAGGCTTTCTATATTGGCTCATTAATTGCTTAGCCCTAATCCCAAGGATCTCTAATCATTTCAGTTTATAAACATATATGTGATGGATTATGTCCTCCTTAAAGTTCCCATTATATAGGGAAATGATGATAGATTTTCTAGAAATTATTCCTGAACTAGAAAACTACCAAGGAATAATGTATAAATTGATTATTTTCTTAACACTTTAACATCTACAAAATACTGTGAACTGTAACTAAACACTAGAAAGGGATAAAGACGTAATAAATTATTAATCTCTTCAGGGGCACCAATCTGCTGGAATAATTGTCCAGTTCAAATAGTGGGCTAAATTGAGTGTCATCTGTCATGAGATTCAACTTGGAATATGTGGTTTTCCTAATGTGATATGGCTAAGATAAAAGCTTCCTAAGTGCAAATTAAAAGATAAACACTTCGTGTACTTCCACCATTTTTCACTTGTTTAATTTATCAAATATCTCCTTGAGATAATATATGAATATCACTTTCAACAATAAAAATGTTTTTTATTCCTATAGTTCTAATATTATGTCATAAATTTGACTTTAAATATCTCCACAGAGAATGAAACATAACAAGCTATAGAAATGATTTTGTATGGAATACATCAATCCAATGTGTGTGTGTACACATACAAACACATGTATTTTGCTCAAAATTATACATATATATTCTATGAAAATTATATATTTTTATATTTATTTATAGTTTTGGTTGTTAATATGGAAAATATTGGTAATTTTCTCCATAATAAGAGGAAGATGATTACTTGATAAGTATAAGAGGAACGTATAAAATTCAAAACATTGTAACAACCTTTCAGCCAGAGAAGTCTTTTTCCTGAGGAACTGTTGAAACTATGGAGAAAAAAACCCTCTCATTTTCAAAACGTTTCCCACAATGTAATAACTATAAATAACCAATGACTACATTTGACCATATTCCATATTGGATGGACTTCATTCCATCACTCATTGACTCAGCAAATCTCTTGTGAGCATTTGCTGTGCCACAGGCACTATTGATGCCACAGAAATGCCTCAGTGGAATGAAACAGGAAAAGCTACCAGCCCTTAGAGACCTTCTACTGGGAGAGACAGACAATATAAAAGACAAATAGCTAAAAGACATAGTATGTTAGATATTGATAGATAGGCGCTAGGGAGAAAAAATAATGCAGGGAAGGGGGAAGGACAAATATTGAGGAGATGGTTGCACTATTAGGAAGAGCATTACTGAGAAGGAAACTTTGAATAAAGACCTGAAGGAAATGAAGGAGCTAACAGGACTCGTACCTGAGAGGACACGCCAGGCAGATGAGGCAGCAAGATCAAAGGTCTGGGGTGGGACTGTGGAGGACCAGGGGAGCCAGAGTGGATGCCACAGAGTGAATAATGCAGAGGGTGGTAAGAATGAAACAAAAGAGGTACAAGAGCCGTATTGTGGAGACCTTTTAGTTCATAGCAATCACTTTGACTTTTATTAAATACTTTGAGTGGGACTTACATTGGAGGGCTTTGAGTAGAGGACTCACATGACGGGACTTAAGTTGTAAAAAGATGACTCTGACTACAGTTTTAAGAAAGGACTTAGAGAGGGCAAAGGTAGAAACAGAAGGCCAATTAGGAGGTATTTCAATAATTTTGGACCAGAGTGGTGGCCGTGGAGGTGGGAACATAAATCTGGATATATTCTAAATAAACAGAATATATTCAATTCTATATAGAACTCTGGATATGTTTTGGTTAAATTCTAGATATATTTTGAAGGAGAAGCCAAAAGTACTTGTTGGTTGACTTTATATGAGGTCTAAGAGAAATAGAAGAATCAAGGTGGCATCAAAGATTTTGTCATGAGCTTCCAAAAGAATGAAGTTGTCATTACTTCAGCTGAAGGAATAGGTGTGGAAATGTTAAATAAAAGTGTCTGTTAAACTTCCAAATGAAGTCCAATTGGCAGTCCTATGTGGTGTGCAGCTCAGGGGTGATGTCTGAACTGAAAATATCAATTTGTTAGTCATCATCATATAAATTATTTTCAAAGCTATGGATCACCTGTGATTACCTAGGAAATTAGAATAGTTAAAAAATGGGAAGAAGGGGCCTAAGGAAGGAAGAGGGCTCTGAAATTTATCTAAGATAAGTCTTGCTCTCCATCTCTGTGGCATCTCAACCACTGTGCTGAGTGAAGAATTTCATGGACCAGGACAAGGTTAGTAGAAGCTTACATTCATTAAGCCAAAAGAGTGACCCACCTCTTCATCCCAACAAAAATACATGTATTCACATGGAAAAAACAAACACTAAGTTGATTATAAATGAGTCCAAGAAACATCATTAATCACAGAATAAAATCTGAATATCTCATCTCCTTCTGTCAGTTTGTTATTAGCAGCTATATGATATCTGTAAACATTAGACAAGCCAGCGTCAACCATAGATATTTGCTTCAAAGCCATAATGTATTATGTGTATGTATGTGTACTATTTTACTATCTCTGTACTATATCTCTCCTTCCTCCTTAATGCAGTTACATTAAAGTTTTATGCTTTGCAGCTTAGAAGTTCATTGGTTTTAGGATGCAAAGGAATCTGTCTTTGGGCTCTCAATCTCTAAGAATATTACATATGCAATTATTTACAGTTGTCAATCCTTATAGTTGTCAAGCCCTATTGTTCTAGTTGGTGATCTTGGATTCAGTCCTTACTATGACATGTCTACATCTTAATTTCCTCTTTTCAAATTTGTGCCACCTACTACATAGAGCATGTTATCAGCTTTGAATTTAACAATGTATTTGAAAATAGTAAAATGGATATGTAGTTTCAGTGGATTAGTAATAAAGTATTAATAAAGTAAATAAAATATATCTTAGTACATGGATTTGGATGCTCTATAGTTCCTTACAAAAGGGATAATTCTGAACTGCTTTACTTATCAAGAGCAATCACAAATGCATTTCAATACAAATGATTACTCAGTTTTATAATAATATCTGATATACAACTGCTTGCCTAATATATACGTAGCACAGAGTAAGTGCTCAACAAATATCTGAGAAATGAGGGAGGGAGAGAGTAAAAGAGTAAGTTTGCCCATTAAATTGAGTGTAGGGGTTAATTTTCTTTAAAAGGTAAATTTACTTATTTAGATTTCGTTTTATTATATTGTAATAAATAATTCATAAATACGTAAGACTTTTTAAACTTTTAGACTCTCAAAAATGAAAAGATAATATTTTATTTTCTGCTAAATTTTGTCAGTATAACCATCAAAAATTGACATACTGCATCTCACAAAATATAAATCATATCTTTGTATGTTGCAAGAAAGAGAATGGAGAAAAAATCGATCATTTGAAGCTTGGGTACTGTGGATAAAATACAAAATACTGAATAATAGGCACATGTAAGAATTTTTAAAAAGATAACAAAGTGGGAGTATGCTTAAGAAAAATAAAGCCCAGGATATTAAATATGATCCTGAATGAATCTCAGTCAGCATAAAAATAGACAGGAATGGGAGACCAGGATAGGGAACACATTAGCTCACAATAAAACTTGGTATAAATTTCTTTCTGAATGTGTTTAATATATAGTTTACTGCTGTGGTCCCCAACACCTGGGCCATGGGCCGGTAATGGTCTGTGGCCTATTAGGAACCAGGCTGCATAGCAGGAGGTGAGTGACAATTGAGCAAGTGAAGCTTCATTTGTATTTACAGCTGCTCCCCATCACTCACATCATTGCATGAGCTCCGCCTCCTGTCAGATCAGCAGTGGCAATAGATTCTCTTAGGAGCATGAACCCTACTATAAACTGCATGCAAGGGATATATGTTGTGTGCTTCTTACAAGAATCTAATGCCTAATGATGTGAGGTGGAGCTGAGATGGTGATACTAGCATTGGGGAGTGGCTGCAAATACAGATTATCACTAGCAGAGAGATTTGACTGCACAATAAATATGATGCACTTGAATCATCCCAAAACCATCCACCACCCAGTCCATGGAAAAATTGTCTTCCATGAAACTGGTCCCTGGTGCCAAAAAGGTTGGGGACTGTTGGTTTACAGTGTCAAATCACTGATCAGAAGCTGTGATGATTTTTATAAATACAGGTACATTCTGTTCTGTTGAGGTTAATTTTTATAAAGGCCAAAGAATCTTCTAAAAAGTTTGGAAGTTATTACTCCAAGACACACTAAAGTACTTCAAGTATATTTCAAGGAGAAATATACATTATTTAGCAAGGTTTGATAAGTGATGTAGTTCAAAATAAAACAATGAAACTAGCCAAATGCACTGTAGTTGGCTAAAACAAATTTCTGCTGTAATATGTGTGGTCCAGACTCCCCTGGGGCAAAGGGAAGAAGTCTTACATATCTATTGATAAAAGCAACATTTCTTAAACATGTGCTGGCACTTAGTCTTCCTGAAAAATTAATTTTATAGTAATTTATTATCTAATCCAGTCTATAGGGGTGGGAGGAAAACAGATGATGGCTTTTTCAAAGATGGTTGATTTTGTCATCTGCATGGGGCAAGGAAAGACACAAAGAAGAAGGTAATTTACCAAAGAAGGTAAAATCTGTTGAGTCCTTGAGAGACCTGGGTCAGAGATTAGCTCCTGATTGCCAAAATGGAATTCCATTCTTAAGTTAGAGAGGCAGGATGAGTGTTAGTAACAGTTACGGTGCAGCTTATTTTGGTGATGGTGGGATGGGGAAGGAGGTTAGAACATGAGTTCTGCCTCCCTGTTGCCGTATGACCTCAAGCAAGTCACTTAAACCTAACTAGCCAGGCCTTGGCTCCCGTATTTAAAAATGACAATAGCAATTCTTACCTTTGTTGTAATGACTTGATAGCTTTTAACATATTGTGTTTTTTATTTTTTTTCCTAGTAAATGACCTTATGGATAGGTTAAAATTTGTTAGATAAATTTAGATTAGTTATGTTACAAGTCCCAAAGGCGCAAAGACCACATATATCTTGTTTGGTGACACACAGAAGGTACTCAGTTGTTGTAAAATAAATAAATTAGAGGATCTAAATTGGGCATTAAGTCAGTCAAACCAATTGCGTTAGAGTTCAAAACTTACGCTCATGCTAACATCACCACAATAACTTCTCTGACTTAGCTTTCAGCCCTTAAAAGTTAAAATATCACCACTTATTCTTCTTCACACATCTCTGATGAGTGGCACAAAGAAAAATGTCTTAAATTTTAGAGAAACCAAATAATAGAGTGACTGATTAGCCTGATAAAAGTCATATCTAGAATTAAAACTTACATCCCTGTATTCATACAACCATTGACCTTCAGACTATTCTGAAGATGTTTTTGTGGGTGGTATCTTTAAAACATTGTATGTTATAAAATTCCTTTTTTTTTTTGTAAGGAAATGCACACAACTTTTCTGACTTTTTTGGTTTTTGTTATTTTTGGAATTTAATTATTACTAGAAATCACTACAAAATAATTATTTTCACTTTAACTGAGAATGGGGAAAATTATTTCAGAAACAGAAAAGTCCAGTCTTCTTTAACATTTATTATAAATATCAATTCCGATGAAAGACTACATAATACTTCTTTCTTAATATGATACTTCTTTACTTCTTGCCTGATCCCAGGAAGCCATAATTTCAGAAATATTAGCAGCCCTCTAAATTTCTTCCTGTCCTAATTATTCTGTGATCCTAAATCAGCATAAAGATAACAAATTAAAATAATTCAATCTTCTGTAGATATAATTGTCTAGAATGACATATGTTAATGTAACTCTGAGGTGGAGGCTGATTATGGTGGTTTAATTTCTTTCCTCTTTTTAACTTTACCTGTATTTTCTATTTTTTTAAAATGACTATATGCTACTTCTATAATATAAATACAATATAATGATAAACCAAAATAATATAATCATCTTTTCTGTCTTTTCTGATGTTGTATATTGTTGGAGAAAATTGCATGGCTCAACTAAATATAACGCCCAGATTACTGTTGCCAATCACACAGGGCTTGCACAGTGTGCATTTCTTTTAGTTTCTTTCAGACATTGCTCCTTCACATTCTTCTTTGGCAGTTTTACTAGTCACATTGAGTTCCCTGAAGCAAAATAGTGGTTTGTCACGATTATTTCATTCTTAAAAGAAGCCAGAGTACTGTTAAATCTTGGCTTTCCACCATTTTAAATCTAAAATCCTATCTAACCTGACCTAGGGAGATTCCCACTTATACTCCTACTAGTAGCAGTTGTCTTCACATGGTCAAGATATTTTAATGGGAATCATTATTTTGTGATGTAGGGTTATGCCTTACCCAGAGTTTCATCTTGTGTGTTTGTTGAATGACTACTAGGAAGTCATTCGTTAAAGCAGAGAGGAGAGATAGGAATAGAAAACTATAGGAAAAATAGGAAATTAAGGAGGAAATTCAACTTTTTGGTTTAACTAGCTAGTGTGTTAAGCCAAGGGAATTTCCTGTGTTTGAGAGTTGCCATATGATACATTTCCTAATATTTAAGAAAATCAGTAACATGCTTTTCCTTGTTTATGTGATTTTCTCTTTTTAATGTGACCACAACAGGTTATGTAAGCTCATTTCTAATCTATAATTTAAAATAGGTGTACACAAAAGAAAAATAGATAAAGCCACAGTACAATAAGTCATCTTGATTTTATTTATAAAATGCAGTAGGTTAGAACGATCATGGGCTTTGGAATTATTAGACCTGGATTCAAAATCCCAATTCTACTAAATTATCATGAAGTTCTAAGCAAATTATGTAACCTCTTCAAGTTTCACTACATCAATGAAATGGGAGCAAGAATATTAATAGTTCATAATATAATAGAGACAGATAAATAGATATGAACACTTAGTATGATGATTATATTCATGTAAATTATGGTAGCTAATAGAAAATTTGTACTGTTTGGCTTTCTTCAAATGTTTGGTCTACAATAACCTCTATTAGATCATGTGATAACTTGTTACTAGGAAACAAAATCTTTGCTTTTGGAGAAGAACTTAATATTTAGTAGACAATATTTTCTTCTAGATGATCTTAGCTACCGCTGGCTTCTAAATGAATTTCCTGTATTCATCACAATGGATAAACGAAGATTTGTGTCTCAGACAAATGGCAATCTCTACATTGCAAATGTTGAGTCTTCTGACAAAGGCAATTATTCCTGCTTTGTTTCCAGTCCTTCTATTACAAAGAGTGTGTTCAGCAAATTTATTCCACTTATTCCAATACCTGAACGTAAGTATTTTATTTGTTACACCTAGTTTTCACAAGGTTGTCTACTTATGGTATACTTATAACAATGAGAAGGAAGAAACAGCCAATGGGGAGACTAGCTGGGTTCTCAGGAAGGACAATATAGAGATTATACACTTTGAAGGGGGCCAAAGGCTTGGTCCAGAGCTTTTTGAATTGAGAAGACTCATCTAATAAAATTGCCATAAGAAGGTTGAGTTCAGATTAGTTGCCTCTAGCTCAGGAAACACACATAGAACTGATTCATTGGTCAAGTGCTAGTATATTGGTTAGGTTACAACAGGAATCCCTGGCATTTGCTTTTGGTTTCATGGCCAGTCCTACTTACTAAGTTCATGAAGAAAGCAAATGATTAGCTCAAGACAAACAATAGTGATTGTAGAATTGGGAAAAAAAAATTCTGGTTGATTTTTTTTTTATATATTTTAAAGGAACTGTTGACATGATACAGGTAAGTAAATAGATTGCCTTTTCTACTCTGCATAATTAGCATAGGGTGCTACCACAGCGATGCCATATTGCATGACTACTGCCCTTTCTAAAATACACTTCTGCATAAGAGAATCATATCACAGTATATTTGCTGACTTTACATTATTTGTATCCCAGTCCTACTGCTACATTACTATCAGTGAGTTTAAGCTTCTGAGGGATACCACCTTCTGATTGACAGACTTAGGTTTGGTTCCTGCCTCCATCAGTAAATATAGGATGTGACAATGGGGGAAATGCCATAGTACCACCCAGATTCCACTTTTACATGTCTCTGCAAGTAGCACTCACATAATTGGTAGTCAATAAATATTGTTGACTTTCTGGCTCGTTTTTCTCTCAGTCTTAGGAGATACTCTCACCTCCTCCTTCACAAAGTGAAAAGGTGCCATTGTGTAAAATTTCCCTTGATTTCTTTCCTACTCTCCCCTAGAAATATATATGCAGTTCAGTGTTTCTATTTATTTTCTTCCTTCCTGTCTCAGCAGAAGAAATATTTCTCTTCCTGCTCAAGCTCATTCCTCTAGTTGCTCTGGTCACAACCAACTTGATTCCATTAGAGACTTCACTACATCATTTGTTTTCTTTCTTTTCTAAATCTTCAAATTCTACCCCACCTCATTTTCTCTGCATATTCTTTTGTATTCAATACAAACAATCTTGAATAATCACAGCTCCCTAATTGTTAAATCCAAAAAACACTTTTCAGTCCCTGTTCTGTTTGAACTTTGACATGGTCTCTTCTGCTGCTTATGAACTTTGCCTTCTTTACCTAATTTTCTCAACTCTTCATCTATCTGCCTCTCTGACAAATTCTACACAGTATGCTTCACTAGGCAGTCTTCTTGTTATTTATTTCTAGTGTTTCCCTAGATATTGCCAGCCACTTACACATTTTCACCAGTAGCCCTAAGCAGGTGACTTCAAATTTTGTGTGTTTAGACCTTAATTCTACCTATATCCTGGACTTGTCCCCCACAAAAGGCTCTCAAGGATATTAAGCTCAAAGTGTTCCAAATACATCTGTCATCTCCCAACAAAACCTCCTCTTCTTTGGGTGTTCTTCATCTTATTTAGCAACACCATTTTATTTCCACTAACTCAAAATAGCATTTTTTTTTTTAATCATCAACTCCTTTCTTTCCCTGATCTTCAGGATAGCTAATCAAATGGTTCTTAATTAGTAGGTAAGCACCTAGGAAGTTTTGGGGGAAACAGGGGACCCAGAGATGCTGATTTGACAGGACTGGGATGTGACCCAGGAATCTACAAGGTTAACAACCATCCCAGGTGATTCTGATAATTGGGTCTTTGAGAAACATTGATACAAGGAGCAGCCCTGTTGATTCTGCCTCTGAAGTTCAATCTGTATCTGTTGTTTCCTTTCTGTTTTCACTGTGGCTGTAGCCTAGTGTCTGCCCTCACCTGTTTTGCCTGAATTAATGAAACAGCCTCCGTTAGATCTTTTTAGATCTTGGGATCTATATTTCTCCTTTCCATGTTTCATCCTTTAAAACTGCCAACAAAGTCTTCTACTTAAATCTAAAGTAAGGTCCCTATTTGTTTCTTACCAAGTCCCACTGGTAGTTGCCCATTGAGGAAATTAGTCTAAAAATCTTTAATATGTTTTCAGTCCTTTTAGATTGTGTGTTCAAGTTTACCTTCAACTACGTATACTTACGTGGCATTTGATTTCCTAGACCTTTTTTAATTCTTTGCACATTCCCGAAGCTTTGTCATAATATGCTATTTCCTCAGCCTGAACTGGTCTAATTCAAATGCCATCTTTGGCTGAGATTCCTATAGCACTTACATACTTCTAACTATCCTCCTTGGCAGTCATTCTTTCAGAGTACATATTTTGTTTTGCTTTATGTATCAAATTATTGCACATCTATTTGTGTTTTTAGCATTATACAGTGTAAAGTACATACTCATGTTGTGATCCTAAACAATGTATTTTACCTTTCTGAGCCTGTTTTCTCCTGTAAGATTGAGAGATTTACACATTTTTTCAAGATTGATATGCTAAATAAATGAAATAAAGTATTTTGATGAGTGCAGTGTTGTTTGAATAAATATTTTCCTTCTATCCCTCCCTTCTTCCCTTTTTTCAACTTGCTTCCCCTTTGCTTTAATCTCTGTGGACATCTCTTTCTTCCTCTTTTCTTGCTTTGACTTACTTTTCTGCTTTTTTCTTTTCTTTATCCTTCGTTTCTTTTTGTCTTTTTCTACCTTTCTGAGCCCCGTACAGCACCGATTACAATGTTTACACATATTTGATGCTCCCTAATGACTTCTTGAAGTTTTTTGGTGAATTGGGTCAGAGCGGTTATGCAGCTGTCAGAATGAGCCAGTGTTATTGAAATGCTTGATGAGTTATACTATATACATAAATATGTACTGCGTATAAATAAACAAGTGTATGCATTGTGCCTCGACCAGTACCCACACCAAGAAAAGTATTCCGTATTGAAGCAGTTCTAATCCTATAGAAATCACAATATTAAAAAGAACACTATTGTGCTTAATAATTAGTGAATGTTTGTGCTTCTCCTAATATTAGGAACAACAAAACCATATCCTGCTGATATCGTAGTTCAGTTCAAGGACATATATGCATTGATGGGCCAAAATGTGACTTTAGAGTGTTTTGCGCTTGGAAAGTAAGTATACTTAAACTTTTCATTAACATATATAGAAAGATATTAATTTTGGACCATTGTAGGAAATAATTGCTTTAACTATTTAGCTATAAACATAAAGTAATTTTCTTTTAAGAGTTGTGGAGCTTTAGCACTTGTATTTTCTGCTTAAAGTCCTGTTCCTGATATCCGATGGCGGAAGGTCCTAGAACCAATGCCAAGCACTGCTGAGATCAGCACTTCTGGAGCTGTCCTCAAGATCTTCAATATCCAGCTAGAAGATGAAGGCTTATATGAATGTGAGGCTGAGAACATTAGAGGAAAGGATAAACATCAGGCAAGAATTTATGTTCAAGGTAGGTATATTATTTTGAGTTTATATAAATTTCTTATTTAGAGCCATTTCCATACTTCAAAAGCAACTATATAATGATTAATAGTTTTAAAGGCAGTGGTAATTATGGCATCATGCAGAAGGATGAAATATTTATTGTATGTCTAATTAAGTTACAACTATGAATTATAGAATTATAATTATTCCTTTGGTATTATAATTAAGAGCAATGAATTCATGGTAGCATTCTTGCTAATTTTCAGAACATACAGTTAATGTAGCTTGTTCACTCCCTTTATCATCTCTTTTTTTAATGCCTTTTTATTTATAGAAAAAAATATGTGTTACGACTTATTTTAGGCCAGTAGTCTGCAAACTTTAATGTGCATAAAAATCACCTGGAGGGCTTGTTAAAACACATGTTGCTGGGCCACACTCTCAGAATTTTTGATTCAGAAGGTCTACTAGTGGCTCATGAATTTGTATTTCTAACAGGTTCCTAGGAGATGCTAATAATATTGGTTCTGGAACCACACTTTGAGAGCAACTGGTGCAAGGAATTGCTTTTCTTTGACAAAATTATCTTGGCACAAGCCTTTGATTTTCACACATTAAAAGAAACTTACATCTGGGAAGACATAATTTTTTCAGGCCACACTGGAAACTGTTCAGAATGAAATAATCTCTGTAATGTTCCAAAAGATGAATCTTGCAGGTCACAACTGAATAAACATCTAGGGCTTCAGCAAGATTATTGATTTTTAATTTGGCTACTGCCCCATTTCTCTTCTTTCTGTCTTTCCTAAAAAGTAATAAAAATCTCGACAGATTCATCCACACTCTCTGAAAGTGTTGTCAACATCTTCAACTTTTCTTCTCTCTTAAATGCACCACAATTTGATTTTCATCTCCATCTCTCCACTGAAACCTTTCTTCTCATGGTCACCAGCAAGACCCTAAAGCTGACAGTCAATTCTCAGTTTTATCTTGTCTGCTCCAACAGCCCTAGTGGCCGTAGTTGGTTCCTCCTTCCTCCATGATCCACTTTCTGTACTTGGCGTCTAGAACCCACACTTTATTAGTTTCCTGTACACCCCTCTCATTCTCCCTTGTTGTCTCCTCTAATTCCATGCCTTTCTAACATTGGAATGAGCAGGGTTCGGTCTTTGAACCTCTTGTTTATTTTGGTCACCCCATTTATGATCCCATCCATGATCATGGCTTTGCACACACTCTGTACCCTGAAAACTCTAACCTAGACAATTCCTCTGAGCTTCAGACTTGCACATCATGTACCCCAGTAACATTAACTTGATACAATCAGGTGTACATGCAATGGACTCCTGAGAGGAAGAAAATTCTGCTAAAGATCCCTTAAATTTTTGAAGTAAAACTACCACTTTATATCAGGTTTCTAAAGCTTATAGATCTGTTTTTATCAACACATTAAGGAAACTACACTACCCATTCTCAGTAGAGTAGACCTCTGGCTTGTCTAATATCTCATGCCTCAGAGGAACGAAGGTAATAGAACAGGTATTTATTTGAGGTCATTTAAGGGAACTATTATTTTTCCTTTACTAATGAGGCATACTAAGTTTTATTTTCAGATCTAAGGAAATCGCCGAAAGATTACATAATTAAACTCTATAGAGAATGTGTCAAGCAGATTCAATTATTTATTCTTCTCATTGGTAATGTCACATGTCTGTGTCACCCATGTGAGGCCAAGGCAGGAAAGGTGCTGATATTCTTATATTATGTATTGCTAAAGATTGTGTACAGAATAAAACCTTTATCAATTAACATATTCAACAATATTCGACTTTTAAAAATTATCTCCATATAACATAAACAAATATAATGATAAGTGAAAAAGTACTGTTTTTATATGCTATAAAAATATATAGAGAGATGTTTTCATATACATACATGTTAAATACTTTCTATAAGATTTGCATATTACCTTTGTCATAAAATAAATACAAGTTCTCATTTTAAAAGAAAATTAAAGAAAATGTCACTCTCCACTCAGGATTCTCTCCTCCTACCTCCTTCTTATATTAATTTATTTATCTACATCTATTTGGACTACTTAGACAACTGAAATACTCAAACGGACCATCAGATTGTTAATTTGTTTGTTCTTTAGAAGTATTTTTTTCTTTTGGGGAAATTTCTAGCATTTTCCCATTTTCCCAGATTTTTCTTTAGGTACCAAGTAGAGCAGTTCAAATAATGAGAGTGAGATCAATTTTACTAAAGCATGGGTTTCACCAACCATAGCTACTATATACAGTTTGTATGGAAAGAGTATTTAGGTGCCCAAGTCATTTTTCTAGTCCTACAGTAAGATGTTACAGTGGCCACTAGCTGAAAGTTTCATCAAAATGAATATAATGTATACCTGAGGGAGTGGGAAAATAATCTGAATCTTTATCCAAAAGGTTAAGAGATGATGCTTTAATGAATTGAGATATAATTCTTTAAAACTTCAGCTGTCATTTTGACAGATTTGAAAGGTTTATATTATGAACAAAAAAATCAATTATTTTAGTGCTAATCGTGAATTCATTTTTCAACAAAACATGGTTTACAAATAGAAAAATAATTACTAACTGAGTTACAGTTACCTCATGCTGTAATCATGTAGGGTTTTCAAAGGATACAGACCTATGTGAATTCAATTTTAATGGCTCTAACATTGATTTCAGGGCACATACAATATCTGATGTATTTTCCAGAATAAGGTTAACTAAATGTAAAATTTATACTGTTGAGATTATGATGGATGTTGAGACTCACATTTAACATTTATAATTTTCCTTGCTTTTTAGCATTTCCTGAGTGGGTAGAGCATATCAATGACACAGAAGTGGACATAGGCAGTGATCTCTACTGGCCTTGTGTGGCCACAGGGAAGCCCATCCCCACAATCCGATGGCTGAAAAATGGGTATGCGGTACGTATGTTCAAGTGCTTTGCTGGTCCTGAGTCCATGTTCAAGCAACATTTCAGGGTGGTCCTGGGATAAACTTAGCAGAAAAGCCAATAGAGTGAGGGTACTTGGGCCCTAAAATATAAAAGCTTCCCCCCAAAAAAGCAAACAAGAAACTGAACATAAAGTATCTTCTTTCAGTTTAAACAACTTCCTGTAATCTTACTCTACCTTCTCTCTTTCTCTCCTTATTTTTTCCTTTGTTCCACTTTTCCACCCTCTTCCCACTCATCCATCTCCACTACCTGATACTGTCCTCTTTTTCTTGCCACTATTGTCCTGAACCCCACAGACACAGAGGTAAGAGTGAAGCTCTAAGTCCTACCTTTAGCCCTGGGGACAAGTAGCAGCAGTGGGACCCTTCTCTACTTCCCACTGTAATCTCCCAGCTGGTCCAAGAGGGGAAAGGTGGACTCTCAGCTCTGTAGGATGAATAGAACAAGAGCCTTTGGGCATGGTAAGTGGGTTTTACTTCCCCTTGCCATGAAATCCCACTTGACTCATCTTAGCTTACAGTGGTGGCAGGTAAACATAGTGTATCTAAATTAAAAAACAAACAAGCCCAAACCTAAATGAAAGCATTTCTATGAACATTTATTGAGAATATGTATTTCACTTTTATTCTTTTCAGTATCATAAAGGGGAATTGAGACTATATGATGTGACTTTTGAAAATGCTGGAATGTATCAGTGCATAGCTGAAAACACACACGGAGCCATTTACGCAAATGCTGAGCTGAAGATCTTGGGTCAGTATCATTGCTAATTTCTGTTAAACATTCATCAAGAAACAATATATAAAAAAGATGATAGCATATTCATAGATCACATGTGATTTTACATTACTTTCTTTAATTGCCAAAGTTAAAAACTTTTCATATATGCAGACTGGAATGGAAGAGTATTATTTTTCTTGTCATTGAAGAACATTTAAGTAGAGAAAAAGTAACTCTTTAAAATTTCTTTATGTTGGCTGAAAATTCAAATTACATATTTCATGAAATTGCATCCTTTTATATTTATCTAAGAAGATGAACTCTATAATAAATTTGAGGCAACATGGAATAAAATGCTTTTTAACATATTTTAAATGACATGGGAAAATTTACACTTGTCAATTTTGAAAAGTCTTCTCATCTGCTATGCCATGGCAGCTAAACACTGCCTATGCAATCACATAACAGTAAGACTGATGCTAAAACGCTACATGTGATCTAACCTCAGATGAGTCTTTAGAACTTCTGGGGCATTCTCAGTTCCTGGGTCCCACACCCTACAGGTGCTCTCCAACACCCTTGAGACATTCCTCAAGTCTCTCATCTCATCCTGACTCCTGCTTTCATATTGTCTCTTTATTCTCCATGAAAACTGAGACCCTTTGGTATAAAGTATTTTAACTTTCCATCCCTCACTCAATGCTATATCTTCATTACACTTGTCTTTTCAATACTGTTTATCCAGAGGAGGAAGTGTTTCTTCTATCCAAAATTGAAACAATCCCCTTACCTCTTTGCCCTATATTCATTCATTTTCATTTCCCCTGATATTTGATATCAACCAGCTATCAACACAGCTTCCTCCGTGTGTGTGTGTGTGTGTGTGTGTGTGCATGCGTGTGTGTGTGTGTGTGTGTGTGTACACATTCCTTCCAGCTGCCTCTCCATTTGGTCCTGTTTTATTCTTGAACTCTCATTTCTTGTCTTTGGTGACTCCAAATTCTCACACCTCCTGGATCATTTCCTCTCTGTCTCCTTCATTGTCCCTTTTTCATACCCTCCTCTTCCTGGCTAGAAGTCCTGCTCTCTCCCAGAACCATTCCTCTGGTTCCATTCCATTTCCTTCCACATATCCCTTTACATATTCTATATTATTATTCCTGGATTCTTGTTATTTTTATTTTTAAATTCCTAGTTAATTTCTTCTCCTCCCATTAACTGTCAGTGATCCATAATTTCGATCTCTGACCCAGATATTTATCCTCAGCTTCAGACTCAAAATAAATACTTCCTAGTAGAAATGCCCATCTGGGTAACCCCATAGATAACCCAAGCTCAGTGTGTCTGAAACTGAGTTCCTCCTCTCCCTCCCACACTCACATCTTGTGCTCCTCAAAGATTCTCTGTTTTAAAGAATGACCGAGTCCACCACAACCCTTTCCCCATCCAGTACATCTATTAAACTTCTCCAGTTTACACCAGAAACATCTCTAAGATTTTTCATTACAACTACTGTACTTATTTTTATTACAATTACTTTCCTGAGGCCTTACTGTATCATGTTCCTTTCGTGTTATGGGAAGGAGTTGTCACCAGGTTTAGTCATATTCTAAGTAATGAATCCAGGGAGTCGGCTTTCTCTTCTAGAACTGGTTACTGAAAAGATAAAGCAATGACTCAAGGTGGCCAGTTTTATTCTTGCTGCACCAAAAGAAAACGCTTTAAAACATTGGTATCACTACAAATTGAGTGACACTAAAGGAATAAGGTAGGAAATGAGAGAATCCTAAGAGAGCATTAAAGAAAACTATCCTCAAAAAAGGTCACCTTAACTTTAACATTCCTTGCCACTTACTATAATGGTGAGGAGCATACTCCATTTCTTCCTCCCTAAAGTCTAAATTCCTTGGTAATATATTTACTCTAATTACTTTGGGCATCAAGCAAGCATTGCAGGCTCATATGTCTTTGGTACAAAGAGATGTAAAATCATTTTGACTCTTAAGAAATGAGGTGAATTTAAATTCTTTCCCAAATGAAAACTTTCTGCTTTCTATTAGAAGTTCTTATCTTCCTACATTACAAAAGATAAGCATAAAAACTCATCAGCTCAGACTGAAAGATCTCTATATATTCAAGCCTAAAATCTTCAAATTATTTAATGACTATTAATGTAGTAATTAAGCAAACTGACCAATTTGATCTTCCTCACATCAGTAGTTTCTGGGCATCTTTATATTACCTCAATCTATTCTTATTTAATATACCTTTAGGAACAGTGCTTCTCTCTCTCTCTCTTTTCCTGAGTTATTTAGTTAATTCATATATTCATCCACCAAATTTTTATTTAGCACTTACTCTACACCGGATACTATTCTTTAATAGGTTCGTGCAATGCAGCAAAAAACCAAAGAGACAAGAAATGCATCATGCCGTCTTCTTAGTTGGGGATAAAATATTCTCTTATTCTTCCTGCTTCCAAATTATATAGGAATATAGTCTACATTCTGATGATATTAATAGAAATTCAAATATTAGATAAATATGAAGTCATTTTAAGGACCACATCAAATCAACTGTTTCATAAAAACCTTAACTGATTCAAGAAAAATTCTTATTTTCTATATGAATTCAGTTTTTAAAATATAATCCTATTAAATTTTGTTTCATATTTTATCAGAAATTTGTCACCCAAAATGTTTATTTAGCCTATTCAAAATACCCAGCACTGTGTTAGGCATACAGCTCAGGTTGATTGGTTACTTATTTATTTATTACCAATTATCAAAATTCAGACTAAAAAGACTGATTCTTTGCTACAAAAGTGTCTTCCTCAGAGAATTAGCAGCAGTAATGACATTTAGGAGCTTATTAGATGTGCAGAATCTCAGGACTACCCTAGACCTAATGAGTGAGTTTGATATACAGATAAAATTTAAGAATCACTAGATTAGATGATGAAGAGTCAAAACCCATAAAAAGATATATTTCAGTTTAGAAAAGGCTCTGGAAGGGATGCAGTTACAGATGAATGGAATGTATTGAAATGATGGATAAAATCCCCCTGGAGTTTGCCAATGAAGAAGGAGATAGAGCAGTAGACTAGAGGTGGGGACCCTGTTGAAAATTAGAGCAGACCATCCAGTGAACTTTCATAAGACTCGATAGCCCATTTTCACAATTATTGTTCTGTACCTTGAGATGAGGATGAACTACAGGTGGATCATGTACTTCTTAATCAATTGATTAAATCATTGTTCCCATGGATGTTTGCAGATACGTCTTGAAGGCAGGGATCAGATCACTCTGCTCATTCTGGCATTTCACAGTGTCTGCATAGAGCTGGTGATCAGTAAATGTATAATAAAGAAGGCATTATATTGTTTAATGAAAAGAGCATGCCTTGAAAACAGAAGGACCTCCATTCAAATGTGAATCCCACCTGTTGCTGCCTTCAGCACCTTTTCCAAATTATAGAATCCTAACAGATTTTAATCTTCTCATTCTCAAACTGGGTATAAATCATCCAAAGTGTGGCTGGGAGGGTCAACTATGACTGTATGTACAGCGTGTATGGGGCTGCCCCAGCCCCTCCGGCCTTTCCCTTCACTCCCCTTTTACAACTGAGTCAAAACAATTGAATTAGATGTTACTTTTAAGTTAAATGTGTATATAATATTTTATTATTATTAAAGTTTATACTAATTAATCCAGTTATCATCAAGAACCTTACATTTGAATTAGGCGAATTTTATGACATGTAAAATTATTGAATAAAAGAAAAAAAATAGAGTGTGGAATGTCAATTGGTCACAGCTGATTATGTTTACTGAGCTTAATCCTTTCTATTTACTAATGAAAAGGGAATAAAAAATGCTATTACTTTAATACAGAAGGCTTTGTGTTTACACTTTAATTAACAGAAAGAGAAAAGTAATCATTTGCTTTTCTTTTAGCTTTGGCTCCAACTTTTGAAATGAATCCTATGAAGAAGAAGATCCTGGCTGCCAAAGGAGGAAGGGTGATCATTGAATGCAAACCTAAAGCTGCACCGAAACCAAAATTTTCATGGAGTAAAGGGACCGAGTGGCTTGTCAATAGTAGCAGGTCAGTTTAGAAACTAGAAGTCCAATTGCAATTAACTATTTGGGAAAGTTTATTTTATAGATGACTTGGTTTCATATTAACAATGTAAATGTTTGTTCCAACACTTTTTCCACAGAAGATGGAAAAGAAGATGAACAGAAATATTACTTGATAATAAACATTGGGGAATAAAAATAGGATCTCTCTAATTTCTTTTTCCTAACAAGGGTATCTATTAAATATATCCATTCATATTTTATTTAATTTTATGCAATTAGCCTATTAAATATTTGGTAGGAGAATAAAAAGTTGACTTCAAAGTACTAATCATCTCTTTGCATCTTTAAATGAATACGATATTCTCATTATCTTCCTAATAAGTGGGCCATCTACCGATGTTTTGGTGGCTTTGGGACAAAACACAAAAACAGTGTGCAACTCACATAGACTATTTATATAAAAGGCACACGGAATAGTTTTTATGGGTTTCCTAGAAGTTCTATTGAGTACTAAAGTATGAGGAGGAGAAAGCTAACATGGGAAACAGGAGGAATGGAATGTGAAGATTGAGGTAATGCTGTATTCCAAGAAGTGAGGACAGTATGTGGAAAGGCTCTAAGGCAAGAAAGTACAGGATGTATAAGAAATTGCAAGAACTCAAATTAGTGTGATTTGTCTTTAAAGGAAAATGGAGAAGACTTTTAAGAGATGAGACAGTTTGCCAGATCATAAATGACAAAGTTTTCTGTGCGAAGGGGCTTGGGTTTCATCTAAGAGTAATAATAGAAATCTGTCTGAAGTCTTAAATAAGGGAGGAATAAGCTAATTTTTGCCTTTTGAAATAATATTTGGCAAAAGTATAGAAAACAAATTTTCATGGTAATCCAATAAAGTAAGAAAGATGGGTATCACCATCCCTATTTTGATGTGTCGAAAGCCTCGTAAAGTTAAAGTGAACCTTCTGAAAAAAATATATCAGTAATATCCAAACTGAAACTTGAACTTGTGTCTTGTTAACATGGAAGGAGAGTATGCCAACATGGTTCTCTTATTAGGACGGTCACAAATATGGCTGTGGGCAGAGGTGGGGGAGGGGGAGGAGGCAGGCACAGCAGGGACTTCCCTGAACACAGTAACATTTAAAGTCAATATGTTTGAACTAAGAGTTCTTAAGATATTATCAAAATGTTACTAGAAGAATATGTGTTAAAGGAAGAGTCGGTTAGTTCAGTTTGCTGCTGAGACACCAATGCTGAGACAAGAAGCAATGCAGAGTCCGTGGTCAAAGGGCAGCCCCCTGTGTATGTGCTCACTCCCTCAACAACCCATAGCACAGCGCTCCCGTGGGCCCCTCCATTGGCTCTCTCTTTTTGATCATAGAATTTGCTCTGATTCTGATGAAGATCAATGTCACGGACTTTCCCAACAAGGATTTTCCAGTATCATGTTTCATGGATTTGTTTTTCCTGAATATCAATGTGTTCAAATAATATTTTTAAAGCCTTTGAAATCAAATTGCATTTATTTCCTTGATGAAAGAGACGACAAATCCAACTTTTGCTCATTACTTTAATTCATTAATATCTCAGTTTAAATACCGCTTTATGATTGATATAGTATTCACATACAAATATGTTTGAATGTTGTAAAATAGTATGTATAAAAGTTAAACAAACTTTTGTATTTCTTTTGAAAAATAATGTTCCAGGAATAAGTAAATAATGGTCTTTAAGCATACATATAATCTCATTTTGATGACTATAATTACAAAAAATAGTTCCACCTAGCAAAGGTTTTCTGTGCCTGATTAGTGGCCTATAGAGTGGCTTATACAATATTTGCACTCAGTAGGGAGGAGCTATGCATCTTGATAACTTGTAATTAAGTTCTCAATTTTATGATTTTATTTTGGGCTCAAATGATATATTTTCTCCAACAGAATTTCTTTGTAACTAATAGAATTAATTTAGTTGTCAATTTATATTCAATAGACTATCAACTCTAAAGTGACCTTTATCTAAGCCACTGGGAGGGGATCTCCATGATTCTTTTCTACTCCAGAGTTTATCCTGGAGTAATTTTGGCAACAATAAGGTGACTAGTTTGTTAAGGACCATATTATTACTAGCTTGTTTGACTGCTGATTCATATCAGATTATCTAGAAGGATAAGATGTTAAGAGTTTAATCTACATTAATTTAAGAATAAGGAGCATTGCTGCAAAAAAATATCAAGTTCCTTCACTATTCTTACTAAAAAGTAATTTTAATGTCAAAGGAGAGGTGCCTGAAAATAATGAGATGAATGACACAGGAAGTATGTATACCCTTTAAAGATGATAAAGATCAATTGAGAGCTAACATAAGTAAGTAAACTAAAAATATTAGTGTGGATGCTAGAAAGAATTGTCATTGTTTTTCCACTGCTACTTGACTGTAATTTTCGTTGCTTTGCTTGCAAAATAAGTAAATGGAAGGTGAGTGGAAATTTGGCTAAGATCTTATAGTAGAGCTTAGTGAGAAAAAGTGTGGCCCACTAATACTGGCACTGTGTTGATACATGTCCTCCAAGATGTAGTTGCCAGGTCAGAATTAGCCATGTGAGAAATTTATTAATGGCAATGTGTGGCAGGGAAAATTGAAAGGAAGTTGGGTGGAGGCTGGGGGAGCTATTTAACTGAGATGCAGGTCTGATCCCAGATGGAGAGAGGGAAAGAAGGAAAAAAGAAATGACTTAAAGAGCAGAGCAGTTCTAAGAGAGTACAGTAAGGCCACTAGAGAGTCTTCCAATTAAAAATTCCCATCAGAGAAGTTTACTGTCCTCCAGGACCAGGTCTGCTTTAAATTTCCTCCCATGTTCAATCATTGGCTGAGGACAATCTGTGACTGAGAACAGACAATGGCTGAGAATAGCCTTTCATTGTTATATTATTTTGGTGATGCATTTCTTCTTCAAGAACAAGAAGTATTCTGAAATGAGCTTTAAGTTGGTACTAGATAGTTAAAGAAGGGAAAGGAAATTCTGGAATATATTATTAGTGGAACTTTTGATATCTTCTTGTATGGAGATTTGTATTAATAAGGTAGATAAATAGTATTTTTCTTTTATCATATTCTGCCTTTAAAATGAAACATACATGTGTATGTTTTGTACAAATCTTCAAAGATAATTTAAAGTTTTGAAAATAGTACATTTAAAGAAAGTAAAAATCCAATGACAGGCAATCCAATATTGAAACTAAGTATGAGTTGCTATATAATAAAACTTAGTGAGTTTTTGGTCTCCAGCCCCTAGAGAAAAGGCAGACAGGCGGGGAAATATGAGCAGTATGTAAGATTGAGTTTATGTTTAAAGAAGAATTTCCTAAGTGTTAATTTGTTATAGAAGCTATTACTAAGGGAGGTTTTTTAATTTATTTTTTTAAACTTTCTGAAAATAAAACATTTATATTTCTCTGTAGAAGTCAAGATGACAGTCTATCCTAACTTTGAAGTCTCAGTTGAAATCTTGAGGTTAACGTTTCTAAAAGACCTGGTCTCATTTCTTTTAGGCCTATGGCTGTTTTGAGCCTGTCCCATAGTGGGAGGTCAGTTAGAAGACTACTGTATTAGTTCAAGAAAAAGCGAAGGTGGCTTTCTAAAACAAATTGTCAATGCTGAGAAAGAATATTATAATATTAAAAATATAAAAATTTAAATTGAAAATAAAAATTACATATTATAATATTTTATTATTTAATATTTACTTTTAGTGTTTAATTATTTAATATTATAATATAAGTAATATAATATTAAAAATTTAAAATTTAACTTAAAATATAAAAATTATATATAATGTTATAATATTCTTTATAATATAATATTATATAAAGAATATTTAAAATGATAAAATGTTTCAACTTTTAAAAAATTCTCTTGCCATATGATTTCTATAAAATGTAATAATAAAAAGATATCAGTTTCTCTCAGGTATGACATAATAATAATGTGTCTTACTAAATCAATTTTGTGAATTATTTATTTTTTATTTCAATAGAATACTCATTTGGGAAGACGGTAGCTTGGAAATCAATAACATTACAAGGAATGATGGAGGTATCTATACATGCTTTGCAGAAAATAATAGAGGAAAAGCTAATAGCACTGGGACTCTTGTTATCACAGGTAAAAAACCATTGATTAATGTTGCATTTTGAAGTTTTATATGGTGCTTAATTTCTAATGTGTTAAAAGACATGCGATTCAGCACTAAGCCTCTAAAACAGCCCGTGTATTGATAAGTTTCTATTTCAAAAGCGTTCTGGGAAAGTCTCTTGCTTGATGAAATTGTTCCTGGAGGTTGGATGTGAAAACATCATCTTATTCCTTTGCACAGAGAAACCAAAATGTACTGGACTTTATTCTTTTAATATACCAGATAATATGGTGTCTTCTATTTTCTTGAATTTTGCTTTACTCTTTTATTTAAAAATATATAGATCCCACGCGAATTATATTGGCCCCAATCAATGCTGATATCACTGTTGGAGAAAATGCCACCATGCAGTGTGCTGCGTCCTTTGATCCCGCCTTGGATCTCACATTTGTTTGGTCCTTCAATGGCTATGTGATAGATTTTAACAGAGAGAATATTCATTACCAGAGGAATTTTATGGTATGTGTTTTATGTTTCATCTTATTAACATCTCAGTGATTCCTATGGTTCTTCATTGAAACTTCTATCACTATAATATTTTATATGATTTCATTTTTTCATGAGACCAGAAAACAGGCAAGAAAGCTTTTCATGATTCTCTTCATATTAACTGGAGTATTCTTGAACCTTTCTGAAATGGCTAATCCAAAGATTTTGGTAGACATATTAATCAATAAATATTCATTGGGCATTAGGTACATTTTCCCCCTTATTTATTAAACAATATTTGCATTGATATGTACTATATACCTCAGTATATATGTGGTCTAGGTTCTAGTGCTTTCACTTTTACTTTAAATGAAGTAAGCGCGTAGAACTTATACTTTGTTATAATGATTACTTTAAAGCATTTATTTTATGCTTTGAGGATAAGAAACAGACAAAATATATATGTTGGATAATTTGGAGAACTAGTTTCTGTGATTTGAAGAGGGTTAAATGGCCACATTTTAAGAATTGGAAAGTATACCTACTACAAATCCTATCATTAAACATAGTATTATAGGGAGTCAAGGTATGGAAATAAATAAAATAGAAGGAAAATATTGGGAAATAATGTAGGAACAACAACTTTCAGAGGAAGGAACATCATTGGTGTCTTGACAGGCTGTCTAGGTTTTACAGTGGATTTAAAAGGCAAATAGACCACTGGCCCCTGCCAGCCTCTTTTCTAGAAAAACAACCATTTAGGAGCCTACAGACCTATTTAGAACAAATGCTTATTATAAAACTGTCTACTTTAAGAAAAGCTAAAGGTATCCATGTAACAAAAACACTTGTACCGCTTAATTAATATTTTGAAGTTTAAAAAAAGCTAAAGCAAGCTTTCAGTCAAATAAGACTGATTTTAACTGGATAGGAAGTTTTTTTTACATTTTTATTAGATAAATGCACATGAGCAACTATTGAAGCAGTATCAGTGTTCATGCCTTCTGTATGTTAACTGTAATTCCAGTTCTTTTTAATTTAACTGGTCTAGCTATAACTGTATCTTTCTAATTTAACTGGTATAGCAATAACTATAAATCTATAATAAACCTACGTATCATCTTTTGGTTTTTGAACCAAAACACTTTAAAAATAACAACTGAAAATTGGCAGAGAACTATAAATTTTGTACTTTGACATTGTAGCATGTGATTTTTTTCCTTATATGTCTGAAACTATTTTGATGTGCTTAATATAAACATGCCCAACATTCTTCAAGTTGTGTCTTGTATTGCAAGAAATTTAAGGGAAAAAAGTGAGCTAAACAGAGATCTTACCTTTTTTTTTAAAAAAAAATAGACTTTTGAAATTGAAAGAACTTTGGTGTTATATATTAAATAATTTTTAAAATACAATTTGGAAATCTGACAACCATAGTTTGTAAAGTAGTTACTTGGCACCTGCAGTGAAGTCTATGTAAATAGATTTGGGAAACTAAATTGCGCTAATTATGCAGAAACTTCATATTCAGAGCCTGCTTATGTTCTCTAAAATAATAGTTATGTTGTGCTGATTGCACATAGTAACATTTTACAACAATAAAAAAAGAATTTAAGAAAAAGAGGCAAGGAGAAAGCAAGAAAGAAAGGAAAGAGAAAGAAGAAAGGAAAGAAAGAAAGAGCTCAGTGATTTAAAAAAAAAGAAAAATAAAGAAATAACTGGAATACTAATTAAGAAAAAATAAATAATAAATTAGACCATAAAATGAAAAAGGCCTGTGGTCACTTGTGCACTCCCTCCCTTTGCAGATGATAGCCACAGAGATTCACATAGCTGCCCCTTTGCTAGTCCAGGCCAGAATTCTGACTCCAGGCCCAACTTCAAGATTCACCAACTTAGGTTTCAGCTCATTTTATCAAATATGATCTACCTGAGATAGAAAACCTTACTCAACCGGCTAAATATACAACTTAATTGAATAAAAATATCAAATTCACATTGTTAGCATTTAGTACATGGGTAGGTGGATTCAATTCTCTAAATTAAAAAAAAACAGGTAAGAATAATTGTTTTAAAATAAATTATTAAACTCAATTCTATCTTTTGAACCTACAAAAAATAATAAACCTTTCCCTGATGCCTAATCTTTTAGGGCAAACTTCAAAGTTGGACTTCACTGCTAAATATACCATGCAACATTTAAGTGAAAACACCATAAACGTTTGATCTACCTTTTAGAAGATAGTCCTAATGGCTCATAATTGCTTCTGGGCTTATCGGTGGACCATTTTCACAAGGAGTGGCTCTTTTCTATCTAAAGCTTAGGGAATGAAAACAATGGGGGCAGCAGATTTTGTGGATGGCAAATGTGAAGGAAGACACATTTGCAACTGCATTTGTCTATTGTTCAAAATTGCACAGGCAAAAATTTCAGTATTGGCTTCTTAAATAATGTTTTGGTATTTTATTTAATTCTGACATTTCAATGATTGAATATCATCTGTTCATTAAAAAATCTATACTGAGCACATGCCACAAGCAGGCACAGTGATAGACACTAGTGCAAACAAAACACTGAATACACCAAACACAGATACCAATCCAAAATAAATCAGAGCCAGCTTGTGAGTTTAAAATTCAGATGTAAATGATTTGGTAGCCATCACAGTTATCAAAACTGACATAATTATTATCATGTTTTAATAATTTTAATTGATATAAAGTAATATTAAGTTTTAATTAATAAGTTAATGATATAAATAAAATTTAAAAAATTTTTATTTCAAGAACCTGTTTTCATTTTTCCAGTTTAGATTCAACAATAAATTGTATTCAGTATGTTTTGATTTTGGCTTGCTATTCTTGATTTTGACCACCAAGTGGCACCCTTGTATAAGATTTCAAATTTTCACAGCCTGGATAATTTGGGGCTTGAAGCTTTCCTTTACAAAATTAAGTAAATGCAGCTGCCCATACTTACAATTGTGGGTGCTTTTAAAATGTCTTCTTTATGCATTTTCCAGTTAGAGTTACATGTCAGGAAATATAGTAACTATACATTTTTAAGGATATACATTTCTTTAAGAATTTATGATGAGCATCAAAAAAGTAAAAATAACATTGCTATTTCATTAAATAATCCCACTTTATGTAAAATTACTTTGGATTAATTTTTTAAATGTAACTTTTAATTTTAAGACTGTAATTAAAAACTTGATACTGATTATAGAAAAACATTAAGAAGTTAAATATCTAGAGTTTACCTGCCACATCATTTGTTCTTTTATTTATTCAATAAACATTCACTGAGTATTATTATGTAATCATGACCAGAAAATATTTCATTTGAACCTGAACTCATGCATAGGGAATAAGAATATATGTATAAATCAGAAGTTTAATAGATTTGAAGCTTTAAAGCAGTTTATCTGCCATTCTTTTATTCTATTAATGTTATGTGGCAAATAGTCATAAGTTTTTCAAGTCCATTATAAAATGGCTTTTGTTTTGACTTTCCAACTCAATAGCTACTTACTCCCTTGGACTAACTACAAAAGGAAGAGTCATTTTACTTATTAATTTAATTAATTTAATTTATAGTCTCTCTTGTTCTAGAAAGTACTCATGACCATCTATAAAAGAATATGTATTTGCAATATAACATTTTATTCCTCTTTCATGATGGTATCTGATTTGTTGAAATTATTTTTTCAATAACCACTTAATTTTTGACATCAACTTTGAGTCATTTTTCTTTCAACTGTTTGACAATATTCTTCTTATCAGAGGCATCATCTTAGTTAACTATATGAGTTTCTCAAATGCCCTAATTCTGGTGATTGCCACTAATATATATTTTGAATATATATTTTTTCTGATTCTCTTATTATAAATAAATATTTTAATTTTAATTCTGTAAGAAGTTATTGAATGTCTGTTGTGAATTCATAAATATCATCTGAATGGTTTCAGAGGTTCTGCAGCAACCAGCCCTGGGCTCTGGGCTGCATTTTTCACTTCTTATTTTGTGACTCTGATCCAGGGATTAAAGCTCTCTATGCCTTAGAATTCCCCTCTGTAAAATGTTATTATTACTCATTCATTTACTTCATTCGGGTTACTTTATTGGGTTCACAAAACTGGTTACTTCATAGTATTTTTGTGAGGATTAAATGAGAGCATGCCTATAAAATGCTTGGCACAAGATCTGGTATATTGTAAGTGGTTATTATTAACACTTTTCATAATAGAGCAATAATATGCCATTGAAAATTTCAGAAGCTTTTGCCAGATAGTTTTTTTTTTCTGGTAAAAGATTTCATTTTTCACAATTTAATTCTTGCATTGCTTGTTGTACTGGGTACTAAGTCCTTGAAAAAAATAAAAATAAAAAATAAAATTCTAAGTATTTCATTGCTGAAGGCAATGTGGAAGTAATAATGGCCAACATTCATTGAGTGCTTACTGTTTAGCCAGTATTGGGTTAAATGCTTTTTAAGCATTTATCATTTGATCTTCACAGCAATCCCTATGGAGTACATATGATTGTGATTTTTCTCAATTTTAAGGAGAAGAAACTGAGTATTAGAAAAGTTAGCTAGCCCGAAGTAATCATACAACTTGCTCATGCCCCTTGGAGGATTTGAAACCAGTTATTCTGACTGTCAGACTGCCAACCCAGTGATCTTCACTACTTTGATTTTTTTTTACCATTTGGTTAATATTCATGTCTGTATCTATTTAAATATTAATAATTCTCCAAGTATTTGCAATCCTATAAAACTGTACTGCTGAACTCATATTTTATTATTCAATCTTATTTAAAGAGCCTTGTATGCTCACTCAGATTATCCAAGTTAATTTATTACACTGTTAGCAACTTTTTCTATACAGTGTAAGTCAAGTCTATACAGTTTCATGTGGTCTAACTATCAAGTTCCAGGTAATTCTTAATGATCTCCTCCAGGTAGGTAGGTTATGCGTATGTTTGCAGACATGTGAGTATACATTTTTTGAATAGGCAACACCAT